TACACGGTGAGGAGTGTACTTCAGCTCTTCGTGTGCCGCCATCCAACCAAGCTGCGTATGGTGTAGGTTCATTACTGAATTGTTTCTGGTGCGTGGAGAACTTAGGTAAACATGTAGATAATGAGAGACTTTTTTACCTGTGTTTTTGTTGAAAGCGCAAAGGGGTATTTCCTCCGGCAAAACTTCATATGTTATCATAATTGTTTGACCTTCTTGAAGAAAAATACACTTTAACACACTGATGGTGATAATCTCTTTTACCATATTCCGTGTATTATCTTAACACGAAAGAATTACATAATAATGGTTTTAAAATAGCACTCCACATCAATAATACATCTATCACGTTGCACATCAGCAACGATAAAAAAACACCCCATGGACACAAGCGATGATTTGAAACAGTTCAGAACAGCGTATATCAACAAAATCGCCATGAAGAGATTCTAAAACATTTTCATAATCTTAAGAATTTGAAACACTCGTTGAATCCATCTTTTGATTCCCTGACTTATCAGCTCTCTGGGAACAAACATAACGATTTGAAATGTTGGTTGTGGTATCACAATATCTCCAATGACCACAGTTTTATGTATTTGATATTAGGCAGACACAGCGGTTCGGGTAAAGTTGAAACAGTACTTGATACACTTATACAACAGGTATGCATTGTTTTTGCGAACGGAGATTTGTAAATATATCAAGCTTATCTATTTAAATGTTACTGAGTCTGCTACAATCCAAATTCGATTTATGTGAGTGAGTATGTTTTTTACGCCGCTTTGAGCAATATTCCAGCAATATCACGGCGGGGGACACCAGCAATGGGCTTCACACATTGTACCCATGCCGGAATCGAAGCTGGGTCTTCGGCGTGACGAGCAAACACTTTAATCAACTTGGCTACCCGACCGCCCCTCGATTTAGGTACTGTAAAAGTAATAGGTCCATAAAGGTCCAATTTTTCTTTATTTGTTGTTTAACGCTACACAGTAGTATGCCAAATATATGACGGCGGCCCGTAAATAATCGAATCTAGACCAGACAATCCAGTGATCGATATTGAGAGCAACAATCGGGGTACGATGACACACAATCCACCAAGTCACCGGTGACCACCATAGCCATTAAATTGCCTCTTACGATCAGTATAGGTTGATGGGGGTCTTTTCTGACACGGAATCGCCAAGAAATAACAAAAGTATGAACACGTATGAATAGGAAATGAGCTACAAATGTGCCTTTTTTTTAAAAATGTATTTTTTTTTCATTTATCATTATGCCACAGAATATGTCTCGGACATAGTAGCATATTGACCTTCTTCGGTGATACATCGTGTTCGTTCCTCTACGTGGAAATCACATCTGCCCTCTGACTCTTCAAAGCATACAGCAGAATACCCAAGGGACGTCCAATCGCCTCAATTTCAACAGCCTGGCCCTGACCGGTATGAAATTGAAATGGCTTTTCTGACACATTAGCAAAGACAAATATGACCAGTGGTCGTTACGGAGCCCTTGGTGGCATAACTGGTCTCCTATCTCCCTGTGTCCTCCCTGGTCCCTCCCCCAACCCCCGCCAGCGTCACCCTTGTTATCAACACCCTCCGCGATTCACACGCAATCGACACCTCATTATTGACACATTTGATATAGACAACACCAACACGTAAACATACTTAGTAACTATCGGCGTTACAGACACCACGTGACTGATGGTATCACAGAAACGCAATCTGCGATACTCTGCGATACTATGTGATACTCTGTGATATTCTGTGATACTCTATGACCGGGGTTGTAAATCACGGGGCAATCGTTGATTCAACCTTATGGACTATTTGCTAATTGGTTTACACGGAGCCCAAGATTTATGACATGGGAGGCGAAATAAAAACACTCTGGACGAAGCCATGCATGATAAGTTGAGGAATTAAACAATTATTCCCCTGACGTTACTCAACGATCTGAACACATTACTGAGAACAATACACCACATTACGATGATTGTTTATTTGCGTACGGTTTGTATTTCTGTTTGTTAATCCGCTTTTAGAACGGCGTATTCAAGCATTGAAAATACCAGCTGTTTAGTACAAATATCCCAATTGCTTATTAATTGCCGACAAAAACACGTTGGATAGAAAGGATGTCTTCTACTGAAGCATTTATGATTGTGATATCAATTTGCAGGATATTAAAACTGAAGCTTATGTGATTGAAATATCAATTTGTTGGGTATAAAAACTGAAGCATATATGATTGTGATATCAATTTGTTGGGTATAAAAACTGAAGCATATATGATTGTGATATCAATTTGTTGGGTATAAAAACAGAAGCATATATGATTGTGATATCAATTTGTAGGATATCAAAACGGAAGCATATATGATTGTGATATCAATTTGTTGGGTATAAAACCTGAAGCATATATTACTGTGATATCAATTTGTTGGGTATGAAAACAGAAGCATATATGATTGTGATATCAATTTGTTGGGTGTAAAACCTGAAGCATATGTGATTGTGATATCAATTTGTTGGGTATAAAAACTGAAGCAAATATGATTGTGATACCAAGTTTAGGATATCAAAATTGAAGCATATATGATTGTGATATCACTTTGTAGGATATCAAAACAGAAGGAACTGGTGACATTGATGATATCTATGTTAAAAGCATGTGTTTGTGATGTTATGAGAGGCACACAGACATATGAAAGATATATAACATGTTTCATTGGGATTTGGATTTAGTTGACAGGCATGAAAAGAATATACCGCATAATAGGTTTCTAATAGACAACGAAACCTAAAACAGTAAATCAGCTGTCATTATTCGCCGTATTTAAGACAACTCGACGCGCAAGCCGAAACAGGATTACATCTGTGTAAGATGGTGATACGTTGAGGTTACGGCGGGGTTGAGGTTGGCGTAGTGGAGTTCAGGTTGTTGTTTTGAGTTGACGGGCAGACTCAATTGGGGTTGCCTAGACAATTATCCGATGATTATATTTATTATGAACTTGTATTATTGTCTCAACTCCGGTATCAATTACAAACACATGTCTATACACCCGATCACCCAAATATCACATATATATGTATATATAAAAATCGGCACTTTCAATTTATTGTATTCGTAACCATATGGAAAACACGACCTTATCCATAAACACGAACAGTTCCTGAAATAGAAAACACTGTCTAATTCCCCCCGAGATGGATTTGAAATGCATTGTGGAAATATTTCGATTATGGTGTCGTATTTCATATGTTGTGATGCTCCTTTCAACGTACGCATGTACATATCATAAGGGACTTGTAAATAGCACACGATTTGCGCTCTCCGCTGAAATGAACATCATGACACTGGATGTACATTTCATGTGCTTGCCTTGCGAGCGCTAAGCTGGATATTCCCTTGTTATGCGGGGGAAGAGCACCATGCTTCAATTACAATGGGGAGATTCAGCAAAGGGGGCCATTGGTGTGCAATCGACATTGTTTATAGCACATGGTCCTATCTATACAGCCTTCCAGCAGTGATAGGAACAACGGGGTGTAAATAAGCGCCTGTCCTATTGTAATGATGTATCACAGTGTCGCATTTCACCAATATCTGAAATATATTAACTAAATCTTGATGTGAATTTTCAGCTCTTGCCAAGTGCCGGTTTCATATTTGGTTACTGTTATTGCAAATTTAAATGACTTGTCTCAAATTGTTAATAATCGTGAATTTTGTCAAAATATTCATAATGCTAACTTTTGATTAACTTTGATATTATTATCTTCAGGCAATCTTAAATCATTGCAACTTGATTTAGAGTTATTTGATTTATATGTGAGGTGTATCTGTTTACTTTTAGATATATGTGACAGATAGTTACGATTTATGCAATACATATCAGCGGCGTTATTGCCATTATTTGTAAACAATGAGTCGACATTTTATATTGTTTGTGTTAATTGTTATTGTTGATGGCGATTTAGGGATACAACATGCATGTTAGTGTTGGCTGTTTTAAGCTATATGCCTTTCATTTGAGTCAATCAATGAATTAATTATATAAATTTTACAGGATGTAACTGAAGTTTTCAACTTTATCGATAAATATCTAACACATTGGAAGGATGATCAGTTTGCGTTTTACTGCATACTATACCTTCTTAACACTATTTAACATTTTATCTTTTTTCAGCTTTCCTAAAAAAAATCCATTTTGCAGTCACAATCATACCGCACACAAATCAGTAAATGCAAAGCAGTGGTGATTAATAAATCAAAGAGACGGATTGAAATCATGATTGATATATATTTATTTTTAAAAAACAATACTGACTAGACAAAGCACATCACTTTGAAAGAGAAGTTGTTGCTTTACTCGCCATTAAGACCTGTGTAGATAGATCACTTTCAAAATTCGAAATACTAGCCCACAAAATCTACTCTTTTAGAACTTTCACATTTCTATGCTTTGAAAAATTAATGAATCAGAAGTGACTTTTTGAAATTCTATATTCAATATTGCCCGCGTGCATTAACGTAGAATCCTTGATGGGTACATATTCTAATTATGTTTATTTTACTGTTCCTACATATTTTCCATCACAAATGCAATATTTCGTTATGACATATAATCACAAAATGTCACATGTGTTTCATCAAGGGTAAAGCTTATGCGAATGAAGCTTACTTAAATGTATTTCTTTTCAATGAAAAAAGTATCTCTCGCAATGAAAACATCGCTAAACGAAATCTCTTTCAAAAGGTAATTTTAGGTTGAGAAAGCATGAAAAATACCACGTCAAGGGACACCTCTTTAGGTTAATGATAAAAACATTAAATTCATTTCACATTTGGACCGCTCACGGAAGCATTAATGCACTAGCCATATTCAAATCCTTTTTCCATGACATTCTCACCTCGCTCAATCCACTTTGCGATTTCATTGGCTGCCCCAGTCACGTGACTCTTCTTTGGTTTCGTTTCAGTGCGACAACCCTGTTCTACCGTGAAATCAAAGCGTACGAGCGAATCATCATAATTCATTCTAAGCGCAACATCGCTTGACGCTAAGGACAGGTTTACGATCTTATATTATTCGATTCAGATGAGTTCTTACTTCGTAAACTCGCTTTCAGCATGCTACGGACAAACAGCCGGGTTAGACAATTGCTCAGACGGGAATTACGAGCGGAATGGAAATTATCACTCGACTGGCAGTGTCTATTCCAGTTTTGCCGGGACCCGTTACCCATACAACGCTAACCGTGGCGACAGGATAACAGATCAGCAAAATGGCGACTTTTATTCTACCCCTCGCCTCACCCACCTCCCGGCGTCCAGTCCTTGTTCGTCCCCACCCCACATACAATCTTCAAACCACAATGCAGTACCCATGAACACTTCAGACCGCAACTGCGAACTACGGAGTAATTCGTCTGCTTCGAACGGGGGGTATTTCCCAAACGGTCAGCTGAACACAAGTCTCGATGACAGCCGGCCTAACTCTGCTCATTCCACTGGCTCACCCCCCTCAAGGCATGACACCCAGTCCCCACAGCAGCCATCGCCGCACCCCCCAGGACAGGGACAAAATCAAAACCCGAGCCACAGGTCGGAGAACTTTCCCCCTCCCCAGATATACCCGTGGATGCGGCGAATGCAATACAGCTCAGGTATGTAGTTTTTGTTTTCTTGTATATTTATTATGATGGGATTCTGTGCACCTGTTTGTGAAATGAAACACCCATAGATATTATCACTGACGGTATTTTACAGGATTTATGTAAATAGAGTACCTCGATTTCCGTGGTATTGTTCCCGGCTACAAGCTGTTAAAAGAAACCCGGCTATGATGTCGTGAGGTGATTTGTTTGGAATTTGTAGATTCATGATTGACTGACATTGACAACACTCGAGGTACATATCACATATCACAACACTTGTACATTTCACAAACCCATTCACGCTGTGAAACAAGTGACACTGATTACCCTAAGACGAAATTGACATGGTGTAGTTTAAACTCTATCGTCAACGCTGAAATATGCAATTATCAAATTAGAACAATAAGGAATCAAATAGTGATTTAACTCTTATCTAAATGATCCTAAAGTCATGATAAATACATATTTAATCGATAATGAAATGGGTGAACAAAAATCTGAAATTTTAACCTGAACTCTTGTCGTAAATTGCAACTGTCTATTGCGAGTGTCAAACTGTATCCCTCCCTAGCAGTTTGAAATTCAAGTCTATAATTGTTTGACAATGATCATAAGAGAGCCTCGGAAGTTTTAACTTTCCGTAAAACTATACAAATTGTGGTGACTTATAGGACCTATTTGACTGTCATAAATCAACAAAGTAACAATTAGACTGTCGCACAGTGCAGAATGTTGATGACGACGTCACACAATAAATCCCCCTGTCCGTCCTTACACATATATGTATATATCATAAAACTTTGCATCAACTGGTTTCATCCGTTTAAACATGTCTACATGTCTCTGTCCATTACTTTCATTTCACACACGAACCAAAAAAATTAATAAAATTTCTTATTTCAAATATATGCGGCTGAATGACTACCTCTATATGATAAGGTGTCGTTAAGACATTTCCAATGGTAAATATTTAAAACGTGATGTGTATGTTTAAGTTTTATGCTTGAATTCAAATTCTTTGATATAAAATAACGATAAAGCAAATGTCATAGTTGAATATCTATTTCGGCTGACACGCTAAGGGGAGATATGTGATCTTTCGCAGTCAAGTTTTAACACCAAGTCTTATTTATAAATGCAGCGATTGATTTCAATCAAATAAAACATACATAGAAAGAAGTTATGCATTTTGTTCAGATAAATATGACAAAGCACTTAGGACTATGTCAATAGATTGCATATTGGTACGTTCATCAGTAAGGAAACGCCGAACGGAATTGACAATATTTATAAAGAAAACAACGTTATTACGCAACCATGCTCAGAAACAAAGTTTTTACAAATGGAGCGAAAAACATGTATTTAAAGAGGACTGGAAACAATCAAAGCGGCAGGGCCGTGTAAAAAACATTATTAATTATGTTGAAGTTTGTCAACAGGAACTTGCCTAAGGCTTAAACGTTGTCCTGATTTCAGCTTCTGAAACAAGTGTAAGCTTGACGAAAAACCTACGTCGTATTCTGTTTTGTCCATCCAAGCTCATAATGTATTTACGTAACGAAATTAAACAGAATATGAATAATAACAAATATGATACTGAAGCGGGTAAAAAAACATGACTTATGACACATGCATTTATAAATAAATATGCTAACGATGTATTCAGTGTGTAATTACATTATTCACCAATAAACATTTAATATACAAATATAAAATACCCTTTATGACAATGAATGAGCCTCGAATACTGTGTCAATATGTGAATGATATCGAAATGGAGAGATTGAAATGAACACTCCCTGGCGTCAATTTCATGAATAAATTTCCTTGCTGCTATGTAAACATCGTGAAATTGACAATAGGATATAAATCATAATAATCTTCATGGGGGAATACGTTGTGATAATTCATTTATTAGACTCCTCAAGGCAGCTATACCTCCACCACCCTCCATCTATATTTATGGATTGAGAAGGCCAGTAAACAACGTCGGCAAGCTCCATCGACATCATGAAATCGACATCCATTGCAATGAGCGTCGGGCACGAGCATTTGCAATGGCACATCACGCCGATCGCTCGCTATCAGTCTTGTTCAAGCCCAGATTTATGATCATGGAGATGAGAAATAAACAGTCTATTAAGCATGGTGGGGTTAAAAGACGTCTAAAGATTTAACTGGGGAAGGCAATCTTTACGATCGAGAATCAATGCTTGAAAACACGCCTCGTTGCTACAAGTGATACATAAATCCCATTTTATGTTTCCCATTTGTCGCGAAACAACCTCGAATCCCATAAAATAAATATCTATATCTAAATAGTATTCCCCGACCCTGTTGCAACTACATGATATATTATTGGTCAGATCTGTCCGTTTAATCCACTATATTGTACTCAGTAATATATATACAGGGTAATATATTTGTTTGGACCGTTGTGAAATCAACAAGGCTTTTTTAGCGCGCGTGTTATCGAATGATCGCGATAGGCGTCAGGGAGAACAATTTATTGGGCCTATTTCCATCCCATTCACTTCATGACTGTGTCCTCACATGCAAAATGACGATAATTTTCCATCTTTTGTCTTTGGGATAGGAAAAAGATATATGTACCCTCTAATTCATTCATAGATAACATTGCAACACAATTACACTAAGGAATTGGAATATTGGATATTTCCTACCTTATATAAATTATCGTTCGAAAAGAAGTGTCATATTGGAGTTTAATTCATTTCATTATACAAAATTATGTTGATGACATTAGTCATTATCAATCCGTGTAACATTTTAATATGTATTTGCATGTAAAAAATGATGTCAATGACTTAGCAGCAAATTCAGTACGAGCTAAAAAATTAGTTCATGGAATCGTGTTATCGGACCAATTAATCTCTTCATTTTCGTATCAATCACCACATGATACAATTTCACCTTTTAAAACATTATTAGAATCCTGGAGGCAGCCATGCTCGTATTAATTATCACAACTATAACAAAATCGATGGAAGCCACTTAAACCATCTTAGCTATACAGTTGGGCGAATCCTCTGTACTCGCACCTCGTTTTAACGAATATTAATTCAATTACGATTTATGTAAAGAGACCATACAATTTATAGCTTTTTAATTAGAATATCCAGTCCTTATTTTGCATGTTAATTTCTTTTCACACTTTCTGCTCGTAGTTTTTAAATAGTGCTTGATTTTCTGTTTTTCGTTATACCGATGAGAGTGTAAATGTAGAAAAAACAGCCTGATAAATAGCCAGTCTAAGGAGAGGTGTCGGCAAAACGAGAGATCCTAACTTAGGGATGGGGGATAAACCGCCATCAAAAGAGGAAATAACAGAACAAATAGAAACGAAATGAGTCTGTTTAATTTCAGCTCGGCATCTGACCTTGCGAAGCGTTTCATCTTTGTAGATTTCAAACAGCTAACTACAACCTCTAAGGGGAAGGTTGTGTTACACTCAACAATAATTTGGGCAAATTATTTACTTGGGCGTGGACCGATTGAAGTCATGATATATCTTTTAGAAGAAACACTATTAAAAGGGAGAATCTTGGAAAGACTCAACCTCGGTTACTGTGAAGTTTGATATTATCAAATATGATCAAAAGTCTGCAACACGTGAAATAAACACCATTTAGATAAGACTGAGGTGATATTGACATCTGACATATGACATTTACCTAAAGATGTTCACTCTGTTTTCCTCTCTAAGTCTTCAACGCCACGTCAATTTTTATTTATGTTATATTATATCATAATTTGAAGTGTTGAATTAGTGTTTAACTGGATATACAACGCTTGTAAGCGTGAACTTCTGATATGAATCGGGCGCAGAATATTAACGCTACTAGTAGGCCACACGACATAAACATTGAAGGCTTAATGTGAGAATGATACTTTCACTGATGTGTGACATGTATATGCAGCTGTTTTTAATAGAGTGATGGTTCGTACATGTGTATATATTAATGTAACCCTTTGTTTCAAACAAAAGCAGGAAATGGCAATAATTGTGTTACTTTTACCGGTATGTTAAATCATGTTTATAAATATGTAAATTGCTATCAAAATTTTGTAGTTTTATTACAAATACCTCTCAAAACTAAACTAAACCTTACTCCCCCTAAATCTCATAACATTCGCGTTCCGTTTTGTTGTTTCCTCTCAAATGTAATCGAGCTTGAAAATGAAAATTACAACTCGCTCAGTCGGAAAATTGTTACATGTTCATAAAATGCCACACACACAATTTTCTGGCATCAGGGCATGAGAGTCGAAAGATTTTATTGATCAAAATTATTCCACGTTGCTTTTAAAGGAAAGCAATACTATTGCAACCACACTTTCCACGCAATGTCTAGTTTTCTCAATAGACGGGATTTCTAACCAGGTCCTATAACGGAATTGAAAACAACATTATGTCGTTAGGGAATGTGGAACACAAACGGCTCGCTATTGCCGTCAATTTCACGTGGGGCTGATGAGGTTTTGAGTAGCGACGGTCGGTCGTAATCTTTGATTATAGTAGCATTTATGACGTTCAGACGCCGACCTTTGATCAAACGGATTATGATTATTCGTGGAGTAAGATACATTGCATCTTTTGTTTCCATGTTAATTTCATCGTTTTGAAATGTATCACTCGCATGAAATACACAACGGAGTAATATATAACCTGTATTTTAATATAATATTCGATAGATAGAAACGATTTGTTCGTCGAAGCCTATACACCTGGTATGAGGTAACCTTGGGTTTCATCCATGGTAGCTCGGCATTCGTTCTTGCCATTTCCTCCCAGTTTGCGTGTGAATTAGCATCAGTTGTAAACAAGTCATCAACGGATTAGTACATCTTATATCATAAAACGTAACCATGTAAATAATAATGTTAATAAATAACATTTCCGAAATAATTTAATTCACAAATATATGTGTATACCCACGTGCAGCATTAGAAATAAAACGCGAAATATACCCGGATGTAGTTACAAA